TGGTAGGGCCGAAAGCGGGTAGTTGAAATGATGTATCTTCGGAGGCTTCTTACTTTATTGTTAAGACGTGGTGGATACACAGGCTTGTGTGTTTGTGCCCATGGCCCGGGCAGGGCCATCCCATGAGAGAGAGCTGGGAGGCCTTGTGTCTTGCTGTTAGGCCGCTGTGTGAGTGAGGGTGAGGCAAGTCTGGGCATACTGAAGTGGCAAGGCCTATAGGTGGCAGCACCTGCATGGCACGAAATATGAACTAAGCTGGCAGACAGCATGGACTGTCTGTGCAGACAGTACAGGCTGTCTACATACGCTCGGCCACCTACTGCGCGTCGTCCCGACGCGACAATACTGGTGGTAAAAGAAACTCGGTCTCTCTCTCATAGGAACAGGGCACAGAACACAAAATAAAAACATATATATACATATGGACATGGAAAAAAAACTTCCTACAGGGAGGGAAGAAAAAACATGTGGGGTGTGCTAAACATCGTGGTCATAGGCAGTGAGCATCGAAGTGCATCACTGCACGCCTTCCTGCGTCTGGACAGATACTGCAACATAGGAGACATCGCTGCAGCTGAGCTGTGACGTAACAGGTTATGGTCTCCTCTGGAACGGTGAAGCAGTCATCGTAGGAGTCGCTGCAGGTTTTCACTCAACCTGGGGCACGACATGCTGGTGCCCTCGATTGAACCGTCGACAAAACTCGGCAACAGGGCAGGACTTCTGGCAAGCGACTCAGGAGGACACTTCTCGACTGGTACTGTCACTGGGCTGTCACTGCCGGCGAGCGTGGAGCGAGTTGTGGCAGAGACGACTGGGCGAAACATCTGGGAGTCGTAGCATCATACACCAGACTGCAGTGAAAGAGCTAGCAGTCAAAGTGACATCTTTGTGCAGGCTGCTCACTGAAGCTTGTGACACGAGGCTGACACAGCGTGTCATCTCTCGACAGTTGGAGTTATAGCAGAGGTTAGTCTAAGCATCCCCAGACTTTTTTCTCTACATATAACTGCATTCTGAAGGTCTGGAGGTGAAGTGAAACAAATCTCGATGGGAATCGTAGCAGGTACGATTCTGCAGCACATCACGAGCGACGAGCATAAAAGCTTACTGTACAAGGGGGCTCGTACGCTCAGAGCTGACTGATAACTGTCAAACACACTGGTCACATCGGGTGACTTAGCACAGTGGTGCTACTCAGGTCTGGCTCAGACCTCACTGGACACACGGAAACTTTAAAAACACTGCGGTACAACATGGCTTAAACTAGCAAATGATGCTTTTCTGTGCACAAAACTGACACTAAGACATATACTAAAATGTGAGAACACTGACTGAGAGGAATTAATTAACACGACATATATCTTCTCTCAGTCTTCTCTACAATACTAAAATAATTACAAGAAACACTCAATGGTGACATCATGTGATGTCAGGCGTGATGTCGTGAGGTGACGTCAGCAGCACTGTGACGTCAGCAGACATCTCGATGTGACGTCAGGCAGACATCGTGACGTCATGAAGTCGGGCAGCATCGTCGGTGACGTCAATGTGATGCGGGCAGCAGACCACAGCATGAGGCCTGGGATATCTGGTAACTCACGTAGCTCGTAGGTCTACGTGACATCGCCCACACCCACGTGGCGTCGTGATCCACGTGGCGTCGTGATCTATGTGGCATGCTGCTCCACGCAGCTTCGAGTGGCCTCGGGCACTCGGATACACACCTCTGGCAATGAATCACACGAAAAACAGCATAAAACACAGAAGAGGGAGTAGGCAGTGGTGAGTGTATGGTAGTGTGGTGGCGAGGAGCGTGGGTGAGTGTATGGCAGGGCGAGCATCTGGCCATTCCTCCTCCTCTCACCCACAAACACAGGGAAACACACTGGATGCAGAAATCACCACAAAACTCACCTCTGGCTTGCTGAAACAGCTGTGTTGAGCTGAACAACAACAGCAACAACATACAAGTGACGCTGAACACGTGACTTGAGAAGCAGCGTGGGACACTGTAGCGTGGGACGCTGTAGCGTGGGGTCACTGTGACGCCACTTACAATTCTCGGAGAAATTCGGCAAATTTCGGCTGGATCCTGCTTGTACCTGTGTCTGGATGCTCAAACGTGCAGACATGACATCAGGATAACTCGTTGAGAGACGAATGCTTCTTGCATGGGATGAAGAAGTGAAGATGACCTCATCCCTCTTCCTTTCTCGCATTGGGCAAACACACTGCTGCAACCACTGCTGGTACCTTTTATAAAAAGGAATTTGTTTGGTAGGGCTGAAAGCAGGTAGTTGAAATGATACGTCTTCGGAGGCTTCTTCATTTATTGAAAGGTCGTGGTGGGTAGACAGGCTTGTGTGTTTGTGCCCATGGCCCCGGCAGGGCCATCCCACGAGAGAGAGATGGGAGGCCTTGTGTCTTGCTGCTAGGCCGCTGTGTGAGTGACGGTGAGGCAAGTCTGGGCATACTGAAGTGGCAAGGCCTATAGGTGGCAGCACCAGCATGGCGCGAAATATGAACTAAGCTGGCAGACAGCATGGACTGTCTGTGCAGACAGTACAGGCTGTCTACACTTGCAAGGTTACATACGTTACAGTCTGACACTTGAAATATTATTCTTGCTACATTCTCACATTTGTAACAATATACGTGTTACAGTCTGACACTTGTAATATTATACATGCTACAGTCTGGCACTTGTAATATTATACATGTTACAGTCTGACATTCGTAATATTATACTAATTGCGGCCTGACATTTGTAGTATTATTCATGTTACAGCCTGAAACTTGTAACAGTATACAGGATACAGTCTGTCATTTGTAACATTATACATATTACAGTTTTATGCTTGTAATATTTTACATGTTACAATCTGACACTTGTAATATTACACTTGTAACAGTCGGACATTTGTAATATTGTACATGTTACAGTCTGACACTTTAACATTATTTATGTTACAGTCTAACACTTGTAATATTAGACTGGTTTCAGTCTGACACTTGTAATATTATGCTTGTTACACTCTCACATTTGTAATATTATACATGTTTCATTCTGACAATTGTAATATTATACATATTACACTCTGACACTTGTAACATGTTACAGTCTGACACTTGTAACATGTTACAGTCTGACACTTGTAATATTATACTTGTTACAGTCTGACACTTTTATTATACTTGTTATAATCTAACATTTGTAATATTATACATGTTATGGTGTGACCATTGCAATATTATACATGTTATGGTGTGACCATTGCAATATTATACATGTTATACATGTTACAATCTGACACTTGTAATATCACACATGTTACAGTCTGACACTAGTAATAATATACAGGATACAGTCTCTCATTTGTAACATTATACATGTTACAGTCTAACACTTGTAATATTGTACACGTTACAGTCTGACACTTCTAATATTACACATGTTACAGTCTGACATTTGTAATATTATACATGTTAAAATCTGACACTAGTAATATTATACATGTTACAGGCTGACAGATGTAATATTATACATGTTATATTCTAACAGTAGTAATATTATACATGTTACAGCATGACACTTTTAATATTTTACATGTTTCGGTCTGACACTTGTAATATTATACACGTTACAGTCTGACACTTGTAATATTACACTTGTTACAAACTCACATTTGTAATAATATACGTGTTACAGCTTGACACTTGCAATATTATACATGTTACAGTCTGACACTTGTAATATTATACATGTTATAATCTGACATTAGTAACATTATACGTATTACAGTCTGTCACTTGTAATATTATACAAGTTACAGTCTGACACTTGTAATATTACACTTGTTACAGTCTGACATTTGTAATATTATACATGTTACAATCTGACATTTGCAATACTATACATGTTGAAGTCTGACACTTGTAATATTACACATGTTACAGTCTGACACTTGAATATTATACTTGTTACAGTCTTACACTTTTAATATTATACTTGCTAGGGTCTGTTATTTGTAATATTATACGTGTTACAGGCTGACACATGTAAAATTATACATGTTACGGTCTGACACTTGTATTATTATTCTTGACACAGTATTTCACTTGTAATATTATATTTGTTACAGTCTGACATTTGTAATATTATACATGTTAAAGTCTGACACTTGTAATATTATACATGTTACAGTCTGACATTTGTAATATTATACATGTTACAGTCTGACATTTGCAGTATTATACATCTTACAGTCTGACACTTGTAAAAATATACATCTTACACTCTGACACTTGCAATATATACTTGTTACAGTCTGACATTTGTAATATTATACATGTTACACTCAGACACTTGTAATATTATATATGTTACAGTCTGACACTTGTAATATACATGTTACAGTGTGACATTTGTAATGTTATACATGTTACAGTGTGACATTTGTAATATTATACATGTTGCAGTGTGACCCTTGTAATATTATACATGTTACTGTGTGATACTTGAAAAATTATACATCTTAGAGTCTGACACTTATAATATTATACATGTTACAGTCTGACACTTGTAATATCATATTTGTTACAGTCAGGCACTTGTAATATTATACATGTTACAGTCTGACAATTGTAATGTTATACATGTTACAGACTGACATTTGTAATATTATACATGTTACAGCCTGACTCATGTAATATTATACATGTTACAGTCTAATATTTGTAATATTATACATGTTACAATCTGACACTTGTAATATTATACATGTTACAGCCTGACTCATGTAATATTATACATGTTACAGTCTAATATTTGTAATATTATACATGTTACAATCTGACACTTGTAATATTATACATGTTACAATCTGACACTTGTAATATTATACATGTTACAATCTGACACTTGTAATATTATATATGTTACACTCTGACACTTGTAATATTATACACATTTCAAATCATGCCTTTCTTTTTTTCAGTGTTCCTGGTGTTGTGGTAAAGTATGAGGAGCTACATCAGCAGCAACAATATTTGAGAAACAACAGCAGCACTCTCAACAACAATATTTGAGAAGCAACTGCAACACTGTCAGCAACAATATCTGAGAACCAACAGCAGCACTATCAGCAACAATATCTGAGAAGCAACAGCAACACTGTCAACAACAATATGTGATAAGCAACAGCAATACCATCAGTAACATTAACATTTTCTTGCTTGTACTAAGTCATGGCTGTAATAACTAAGGAGGAGAACAATGGCTTCAGAATAATGAAAGCTTTGAGTGAGTGTGGTAGAGGAGTGTTGCATCACACATTCCGCTTGGGAACACCAGATAAACCTCCAAATACAACACTTGATCATTACTTAAACAACTTAAAACCTACATCATCTGCCAACTACTTAAAACTCAAAAGTAAAGATCGAAAGTTTAACAAAACACAAAAGAAACTGATTAATAGAAGTGCAAATGGAAGAGAGTTTGATGTTGCACTACTGTGCAGGAGCATCAAACTTGCTTGTGAGAATGTTGCTCCTCTCAGTGATCCAAGATGGATCATTGCCAGCACACAAATGGAGTACTACATCACTGCCATAAACAACATGAGGAACGATGCTGTTCACGGTCCACTTGCAGTTACTGATGAAGATTATTATGAAAATATGAGAAAGCTTCGTGAGTTGTTAACTGGTTGTCTTAAGACATCTGGAGAGAGGTATGGGAGAGACCAGGATGAAGTTAACAAGGAGATCCAGCAGATGAATGATGACCTGGACTACATAATGAATGAGATTCTCGGAGAGGAAGATATAATGAAGTATTGTAGTGATGATATAAAACAGATTATCAATAAAGACAGTTGTGATGAACTGAAGAATATCTTACAAAAAATAACTTGTGTTAACCCCATATCTTTTATCACTGACAACTTTCAATTTAAAGTAGACAAAATTTTTGTTGATATTGAAGTTAAACAAGGAAGACATAGAGATAATAATGAACATATAGAATATGGAGACCTTCTCTCATTTGTCCAGACAACATCTGTGGCATCATGTGTGAGCTCTGGCACACAACAACAAGGTTCCTCTGGAAGACCACAAGTACTGCTGCTGGAAGGTGTGGCAGGCAGTGGCAAGACCACTCTAGTGAAGCTAGTAACTGAGGAATGGATACAAGGTGGCCAAGGTAACATCAAGGACTTAGATAATTATGATCTCTTACTGTGGGTACAGTGTAGAGACGCGACCATCAACTCCTACCACGATCTTCTACATCGACTGTTACCAGATGCTTCAATAAAATTCAGAAACATTCTGTCAAAAATAGTAAAGCTTTGTAAGGTAATAATAATAATTGACGGTCTGGATGAGCTCAATAACAACTCCAGAATATTAGTCAAAACTCTTTTACTGGAATTCCAAAACTCTATTAACACAACTTTTATCTGCACCACAAGACCTGAAGCAGTTGAAATGTTCAGCTTGACGATCCCTGAAGGTTATGATGTGACTAATGCTGAACTACTAGGCATAAAGAATAAACATATGAAAGAATTTGTACATCGGATTCACCAGGAGATAACTAAGCTGACCAACAGTAACAGAAACACTGATGAACTAGTGTATAAGGTGTTGCATATTACAGGTCTTCGCGAACACTTACGTCTACCGATGAATTTAACATTGTTTGTTTACATCTGGGACCAGGATCCTGATGAGTTAAACATAAAAAACATAACACAAACACAACTCTACCATAAATTACAACATATGTGTCAAAGTAAGTTATTAGAGAGATTAACAAACTGTTCAAACAACAAGACGATGAATAAAAGAATTGTAGAGAAGAGTGTTGAAGAAATATTGAAGATAATATACGCGAGATCACTAGAGAGTCTGTCACGTGACCAGTTGAGTCTTGAAGAAGAGACTGTAAGAGAACTAATATCTGCTTGTAACGATCATGATATACGTTACGATGAGATGCTGTCTGCTTTCTTGAGTTTGAAGCCAATATGGACTTGGCAAGGCATCGAGGAGCGCTACTCTGCACCACACAAGGGAATCCAAGACTACTTCAGTGCTCTGCATATTGTGATGACACTCAAGCACCAGCTGCAGTCTTCACCACTCCCTGTCTTGTACACCCAACACCCAGCACCATCTGTGTCTTCCCAGCCATATGTGATAACTATATCACCATCAACACCAACTGTCTCTTCTCAATCACCTGTGATAACTATATCACCATCAACACCACCTTTGTCTTCCAAACCATCTGTGATAAATGTATCACCATCACCGACACCACCTGCGTCCTATCCATCTGTGATAACTGTATCATCACCAACACCACCTGTCTCTTCCCAACCATCTGTGATAACAGTATCACCATCACCACCTGTGTCTTCCCAACCATCTCTGATGACTGTATCACCATCATCAACACCACCTGTGTCTTCTAGACCACCTGTGACAACTGTATTACCTACACAAACACCACCAATTTCTTCCTGTCCTTCTGTGATAAATATATCAACATCACCAACTCCACCTGTCTCTTCCCGACCATCTGTGAGTACTATGTCACCATCAACACCATCTGTGACAACTATGACGCCATCACGTACTCATCCTTCACCCTCACCTGTCTCACTTCTATCAACCTCACCTTCACCAGCACCACCTACACCTGCTTCACCTACACCTTACGCACCTGTCAGTATCAGGGGAGTGTTAGAAGAAAGCATCAGGTCAGGTGTGGTAGACATGAACAAGTACCAGAATGTTCTAATACATGTGGCTGGGCTGCTGTACCTGGTACTAGACCAGGTACCTGAGACACTTGCACAGGAAGTGGCTCATCTCCTGCAAGAGTCTGGTGTGAGAGACAACAACCAGTGGCTCGACCTCCTTGACAACACTAACATGTCTCCAGTAATTATCAAACAAATTTCTCTCTTCTTCAATACTGAAGACACAATTTACATAAATGATGAGCATGTGAGAAGCTGCGCTGCTCTCCTACCTCACCTCAGCTCCTGCAAGGTGGATATTAATATCATTTTAGCCCCCGGAGACCTGCCTGACTTACCTGACCTGCTGGCTGCCCTCACCCACCACCAGTGTACAATCCTGGAACTGAACCACCACTACAATCATGCTGACACAACCACCACCTCTGACGACCTACTGCAATGTCTACAACCTCGGTGAGTTATTGTTATTATTAATAATGTTACTGTGCATGATAACATTATCTTAACATTATTGTTAATATTACAGTATATAACATAATACATATCTTACATTATTGTTAATGTTAATAATGTTACTGCATACGATAACGTTATCATTATCTTTTCAGTATTGTTAATGTTAATAATATTAATGAATATGACAACATTATCTTAATGTTACAGGTGTTAATATTGTTGTCGTTGGTGTTAACATTGATGTTGTAGGTGTTAACATTGTTGTTGTTGGTGTTAACATTGATGTTGTAGGTGTTAGCATTACTGCTAACATTGTTGTAATTGTTAATATTTTTGTAATGTTAACATTGGTGTGTTAACATTGTTGTTGGTGTTAACATTGTTGTCGGTGTTAAAAATGTTTTTGGTGTTAATATAATTGTTGCTGTAAAGATTGTCGCATGTGTTAACGTCGTTGTTGGTGTTAACGTCGTTGTTGGTGTTATCATTGTTGTTGGTAAGTAAGTTTATTCAGGTATACACAAATACAGTTACATAGATTATCATACATAGCAGCATATGTGTAGAGAACCTGGGATAACCCAAAAAAGTCAGAGTGACTTATTTCCATTGGGGTCCTTGGTGTTAACATTGTTGTTGCTGTTAACATTGTTGCTGCTGTTAACATTGTTCTTGGAGGTAATATTGTTGTTGGTGTTAACATTGTTGTTGATGTTAATATTATTGTAATATTAACATTGTTGTTAGTGTTAAAATTGCTGTTGGTGTTAACATTATTGTTGGTGTTAATATTGTCGTTGGCGTTAACATTGTTGCTGGTAATAACATTTTTGTAATGTTAACTTCGTTGTAATGTTAAAAATGTTGTTGGTATTAATTTGGTGTTATTGTTAACATCATTGTTGGTGTAACATCGTTGTTTTTGTTAATATTGTTGTTAGTGTTAACAACGTTGTTTGTGTTAACATTGTTATTGGTGTTAACATTGTTGTTGGTGTTAACATTGTTGTTGGTGTTAACATTGTTGTTATTGTTAACCTTGTTGTAATGTTAAAAATATTATTGGCGTTAAGGTTACTGTTCATGATAACGTTGTTGTTATTGCTAACATGGTAATGTTAACTTTGTTATAATGTTAATACTGCTGTTGGTATTAATTTAATGTTATTGTTAACATCATTGTTGGAGTTAACATCGTTGTTTGTGTTAACATTGTTGTTGGAGTTAACATCGTTGTTTGTTGAAGATTGAGACACTTATGCAGCATATGGGAATCTTTATTCAGGAAACGTTTCGCCACGCAGTGGCTTCATCAGTCCAATACAAAGAGGAAGGCGTAAGGAGAGGAGGAGAATGAGGTAATCAGTCCCTCAACCTGGAGTCGATGTGTTCAGTCCATCAATCTTGTAGATGGACTGAACACATCGACTCCAGGTTGAGGGACTGATTACCTCATTCTCCTCCTCTCCTTACGCCTTCCTCTTTGTATTGGACTGATGAAGCCACTGCGTGGCGAAACGTTTCCTGAATAAAGATTCCCATATGCTGCATAAGTGTCTCAATCTTCAACATGTCGGTTTTTCAAACCATTCATCACATCGTTGTTTGTGTTAATTTGTTGTTATTATTAACATCGTTCTCGGTGTTAACATCGCTGTTGGAGTTAATATTGTTGTTGTTGTTGTTGTTAACATTGTTGTTGGTAACATATTTGATAGTTTTAACATTGCTGGTGTTAACATTGTTGCTGCTGTTATTACTGTTCTGTTAACATTGTTGTTGTTAATACCGTTGTTAACATTGTCGTTGATGTTAACATTGTTGTTGGCGGTAACAGTATTTTTGGTGTTAACATTGTTGTTGATGTTAACATAATTGTTGTTGTTAATACTGCTGTTGCTAACATTGTTGTTGGTGTTAACATTGTTGTTAGTGCTAACATTTGTTGTTAATACTGTTGTTGCTAACATTGTTATTGGCATTAACATTATTGTTAGTGTTAAACTTGTTATAATGTCAACATTATTGTTGGTGTTAAGGCTGTTGGTGGTGTTAAGCTTTCTGTGTTGTTATTAACACTTTTTTGGTGCTTACATTGTGTTTAGTAATAATATTGCTGTTGGTGTTAACATTGTTGTTGTTGTTGTTAATACTGTTGTTGTTAATATTGTTGTTGGTGTTATCATTGTTGCTAGTGTTAATATTGTTGGTGGAGTTAACATTGTTGTCAGTTTTAACATTTTCGTAAAGTTTACATTGTTGTAATGTTAAGACTGTTGTTTGTATTAGTTTTTTTCAATTTTTAACATTATTGTTGGTGTTAACATCGTTGCAGGTGTTAACATTGTTGTTCGTGTTAATATTATTGTTGTTATCATTGTTGTTGCTGTTAATAATATTGTTGCTAAACTGTTTTTGGTGTTAACATAGTTGTTAGTGTTAACCTTGTTTTAATGTTAACACTATTATTGTTGGTATTAAGGCTGTTGTTGGTGTTACCATTTTTGTTGGTGTTAACATTGTTGTTGTTGTTATTACTGTTATTGTTAGCATTGTTTGTGTTAATACTCTTGTTAACATTTTTGTGTTAATATTGTTGTTGCTCTTAATAATATTGTTGTTAACCTTGTTGTTGGTGTTAACATAATAAGTGTTAACCTTGTTGTTGGTTATTGTGACCCCTGAATGGGTCACAATGTATATAATGTATATTACTTGTTTATATAATTTTATATTGCTTATATTTGTGATAATATCTAAATCGTAAATATATTGCTTTATATTATTATTTGACTTAGTTGTATTATTAGGTAGGATGTAACGTTTATATATTATTCAGTGCTCTAACTACTGTAATTATAGCCCTGCTCGTTGCTCGTTTCCCTGCCGGCTTCTCTGTGTTGCTGGGCAGCAGCAGCGTGGAACTATCACGTGACCAGGGGAGGGGGTGATCACATCTCGCCTGGAATAGTCTGTCTGGGTTGATCACTCTCTTGTCTGTTGGACGTTCTCCTAACAAGACGTCCCACACTCCTCTCTCTTGTGGGCCCTTGTTGGAGGATCGTCTCTGTTGCTTTCATGTTGTTGGTTCTGTGGAACTCTGTTCACAGAACATTGTCTAGACTTAGTGATTTTCGACGTTGTACTGAGGTTGTGTGTCACATAGACACTCTGAGAAACTCAGGTCCTGAGCTGTAGCTTCTGACCTAACTTGTACTGGTATCTGTGTACTGTCACAGTCTGGGATTTTCTTATGCTGAACTTAGATTCAGTAGTATGGGAGTTTTGTGACTTTTGTGGAGGATCTGCAGATGGTCCCTACTTAATGTCATCATATTATCTCCTTATTCCTGATTCTGTGTTGCTGTTGCTTGTTATATTGTTGTTCAGCTTAACAATCGCCTTATTGTTCAAGCAAGCTGTTCTGATTGCCAGGTTGGTCAAGAAGTTAGTTTATGTGAGAACTTTTAGTCAGTCACTGGTTAAGTCTAGTAGAGTCTCGAGACATAGCGAACTACTTAGAACACTTACACACATACACCCAAACTTACTTTTATATATTTGTATTATGTTACCAAATTCTAATAATGCACAAGACGTTACTTATTAGCCATAAAGATGTGATATGTGCCTTCAGCACAATACTACTGTACACGAGAGAAGTGATTATTATTATTTTGTTTATATTGTTTAATTTAATTTGATAATATATGCTCAAGTTAGAGAATGCAGGAAAGAGGGAAATTATTTCTCAGTAAAAGTAGGCCTTAGACAAGGATGTGTGATGTCACCGTGGTTGTATAATATATTTATAGATGGGGTTGTAAGAGAAGTAAATGCGAGGGTCTTGGCAAGAGGCGTGGAGTTAAAAGATAAAGAATCACACATGAAGTGGGAGTTGTCACAGTTGCTCTTTGCTGATGACACTGTGCTCTTGGGAGATTCTGAAGAGAAGTTTCAGAGATTGGTGGATGAATTTGTAGGGTGTGCAAAAGAAGAAAATTAAAAGTAAATACAGGAAAGAGTAAGGTTATGAGGATAACAAAAAGATTAGGTGATGAAAGATTGAATATCAGATTGAAGGGATAGAGTATGGAGGAGGTGAATGTATTCAGATATTTGAGAGTGGACGTGTCAGCGGATGGGTCTACGAAAGATGAGGTGAATCATAGAATTGATGAGGGGAAAAGGGTGAGCGGTTCACTTAGGAGTCTGTGGAGACAAAGAACTTTGTCCTTGGAGGCAAAGAGGGGAAAGTATGAGAGTATAGTTTTACCAACACTCTTATATGGGTGTGAAGCATGGGTGATGAATGTTGCAGCGAGGAGAAGGCTGGAGGCAGTGGAGATGTCATGTCTGAGGGCAATGTGTGGTGTGAATATAATGCAGAGAATTCGTAGTTTGGAAGTTAGGAGGAGGTGTGGGATTACCAAAACTGTTGTCCAGAGGGCTGAGGAAGGGTTGTTGAGGTGGTTCGGACATGTAGAGAGAATGGAGCGAAACAGAGTGACTTCAAGAGTGTATCAGTCTGTAGTGGAAGGAAGGCGGGGTAGGGGTCGGCCTAGGAAAGGTTGGAGGGAGGGGGTAAAGGAGGTTTTGTGTGCGAGGGGCTTGGACTTCCAGCAGGCATGCGTGAGCATGTTTGATAGGAGTGAATGGAGACAAATGGTTTTTAATACTTGACGTGCTGTTGGAGTGTGAGCAAAGTAACATTTATGAAGGGGTTCAGGGAAACCGGCAGGCCGGACTTGAGTCCTGGAGATGGGAAGTGCAGTGCCTGCACTCTGAAGGAGGGGTGTTAATGTTGCAGTTTAAAAACTGTAGTGTAAAGCACCCTTCTGGCAAGACAGTGATGGAGTGAATGATGGTGAAAGTTTTTCTTTTTCGGGCCACCCTGCCTTGGTGGGAATCGGCCAGTGTGATAATAAAATAAAAAAATAAATATACGCCTAGACAATTTTATTATTAATAAACTTATTAAATTTTAATTTCTCTAG